TTAAGTTGGTGTTTAAATAAAACATGCACAAAAGATCACAATAGGGAGTGAGAACATTTATCATTTACAATAATACAATCTTATAATATATAGATATATATGTTTCAACTTTCTCAATGCATTTTATTTTATGAAGATTTAAATTAAATTTGTAGTGACTAGTTAGGATAAATGAGCTCAATTTTAATCACTCTCACGATGATATTTACTCATTTAAATCCCCAAGGTCCAACCTCCATCTACAATATCATCAAATCTTCACAAATAGATATTATTATAATTGAATAATATAACTATAAATTAATGAATAGGATCGTTGCATTACTAGAGATAAAATAAAGTAAACAAACATGACCAATATGTAACTGGAGATAATTAAAATAGGACCAGTACAAGACTGGAGATAAAATAAAATAAACAAATAGGACCAGTACATAATTGGAGATAATTAAAATAGGATCAGTGCAAGACTGAAGATAAAATAAAATAAACAAACAGGATCAGTACATAACTGGAGATAAGTAAAATAGGATCAGTGCAAGACTGGAGATAAAATAAAATAAACAAACATGACCAGTACATAACTGAAGATAAGTAAAATATGACCAGTGCAAGACTGGAGATAAAATAAAATAAATAGAATGAGGTTAGGGATACCTCACTCTACACCATAAATGAAAAAAAAAAATATTGATGAATGTCTCCTCTTCTACCTTAAGAATTGCGGACGAGATACCAAAATTGTGGAGAGATAATTTTTTTTTCTCTTTCTCTTCTTCCCTCTCTCTCTTTTTTTTCTTTCTCTCTCTCTCCTTCTTTCTCTCTCTTCTTTCTTTCTCTTTATCCCTTTCTCTTTCTCCCTTATCCTTTCTTTCTCTTTCTCCCGCAACTTCCCCCTATCCCTTTTTATAACCATATTTTTTTATTTTTTTTTACTTAAAGAAGTCATTAAAATCATCAATGACTTGGATAAAACTTACCCATTAAGATAAGTTAACTTTATCTTTCAAATTTTTTTTTTGAGATATTACAAAATTTATCTCAAACAATACAATAACTAAAATAAATTAATAGAAAAAAACTTAATTAGAAAAAAAACTAAATATCAAAGTAAAAAATCATTTTGAACTAGTATTAAATCAAACCCTAAAACATCTTTTAATATAAATGTTAGAATGAGTAATGGTAAATTTAAAAAACAATTATGCACATTAATAGAAAAATACATTTTTTGTTTTACTATACTTTTTATTTTTTGTTTAATTTTATAATTTTTAAAAATATGTTATGTTAGTCATTTTTATATAAATTTATTACTTTTATGGACACAAAATTGAAAATAAAAATTCGCATAATATATTTTTAATAACTTTTTATTATATAAATTTAACATTATTATTTTTACATTTTTTATAATATATATTATTGTCATTACTATTTTAGGTAATTTTGTTTTTCATTTCTACCGTTGAAATAAGTGTGACATTTTTTAAATTAAAGCACATATTTAGGTCAAATCTTGTACAATTTGAGACCAAATGCATCAGAATTCTTGTTCTCCTTGCTTCTTGTTTTTTTATGACTGTTTTATAATTTTGTCGGAATTTCAAGGATTAAGGACATATTCACATAATTTATTTATATATTTGTAATTTTATATTTTTACATTTTTTTATTTTTATATAATTTATGATTTTTATTTCTCAAATTTAATGATTATTTAATATATTATCTTATAAGAATGTTATAAAAGACAAAATAGTAGGTTCACTCAATATTATAAAAAGAGTGTAGAGGAAGAGAAAAAAAAAATCAAATTCTCTCTCCAATTCCAAAATCACGAGCAGAATAAAAGAAAAAACAAGAAGAGAAAGAGAAACTCAAACCAAAGAAGAAAAAAGATAATGCTCATTAATCAATCCACATCAATTAATTATTTTCCTTTTACATCCTCTTTCATGTTTTTCTAATTTGGCTCATTGAACATTGTTTGGCTCAATGCAGTTTCAAGTTATCATAGTCATTTCGAACGCACCACTAAATCGCATAAACTCTTATTGTTGTTGATACTCATAACTCTTGAACATCTCGTTGTTTCCTTATTGTCACATTGGGTTTCTAAGATCTAACGTTGTTGTGACTACTGCAAGTCATAAATCAATAACATGAAGGATGTTTATCTTAATTTTGAGACAAAAATTTTTTGTTAGATTCTATATTAATTTAACTGAAATTTACATCTCCCACATTAACTACAAAGATTAATTAAATGTACAAAACTTTTTACGTACTGAGAGTTGAAATAAGTTTCTTTAACTTAAATTCATTGTTAAAGAGAATTAAATCTGATAAATCATAAAAATTAACTATTTCACATGGAATATATTTAAATTATTTTGTATATTAGATATATTCATTTAGAATTAATGAAATAAAATATGAGTAATAATAAACTCACAAAATAAAACAGCTAATTCTTTCAATACTTTTATGTATGATTAATTTATATATATTATTATATATGGTTAATTTATATCTCTATTTAACAAAAAAATAAAATATTAAAAAATTATATGATTAATTTTTTATAAATATTCTATTTGGTGTTTTAGTATTATTTTCCATTGTTATAACTGATTATATTTCAAAATCGAGACACATAAGAAGAAAAATTATTTTTCAATATTATATATATATTATGAACTTTTTAAAACCCCTTTATAGGAGAGAGATATGTTTAGATGTCAAATAATAATATAAATAACAACAATATATATTATTGTATAGTTTAATTTAATTATGTAATTGTTAGTGAAACCTTATACTGTTTTAAAGTTTTGATATCCTATGGTTGCAGTTAATATATGTATTTTATTGTTATGTTTTATTATTATTATTATTATTATTATTTATTGTGGTTTTTATAATGTTACTTGTCATTAATTATTAATACTTTAGGATGCAGTGGTGATCTTAAGGAAGTTGAAGTCAACATTGTTCAATAAAAAATATTAAGGATCGTATTTAAATTAAAAACATTCAAATAGATATACTAGACCTAGGTGTAAAATAAATGAAGCATCTACCTTTCATGGCTCAAGTAGAGTCAAATATTTTAATAATTATTTAATATTATTATTGGAAAAATTTTATGTTAATTTATTGTATTTGTACTTCTTTTTATTTTCCTACAAGCCAATATGCTATGCAAATGATACTTTATTATTAACTACAAATAGATAAGTACAATACATAAAATAAACAAATTGATAAAATATATTAATATAATATATACTTATGATATGTTCTCTTATAATTAAGAATAAAATAACATATATATTAATATTTTTTAAAACATATGGATAAAAAACTTTGAATCTCTTTATAATTTATTCTGGTTTTGTGTAAATTGATTTATTTTGTTATTAAATGGATGAATGTTAAAATGAGTTAATTCCTTTTATTTTGATTCGTCTTATCTCTAGTTGATAGAAAATAAGGTGAAATTATTTGACCTATCATAATTTAAACAAATTAAAAATTTCAATCCATTTGAATGAGTGGTTCAGTTTATCAATAATTTTTTATATATATAATTTTTTTTTAAATATATCTTAATTATGTGAATCATTTTCAAATTTTTATTTATTAACTCATATTTTTATTAGATAAATTTTAAAAAATTATTATATTTATATGTTAAAATAATTAATTATAATAAATAATTTAAAATTAATTGATTAATTTTTATAACTTAAATTATAATATATTTATATATTTTAATAATATAATAAAAATATATAATATATTTAATTATAATTTTTTATTTTTATTTTAATATATAAATATATTTTTAGAACAAACTAAGGTCAATCCACTTTTAATATGTTGAATTGACAAGTTAGACATAATAGACCAAAATACGGATTAAAATTGCTACACATATTTTATCATTACTATATATAACTCATTTTTTATATTTATCTATATTACGATGTTAAATGTTAAAAATATCATCATTTTTAATTAATGAAAATAAATATAAATTAAAAAATTATAAATATATTTTTATAATTTTATAATAAATAATATAATATTTCAAAAATAATATTTATTAATTTATAAATATATTTTTATCTAAATATATAAATAAGTCTTATAATATATATTTTAATTATTATATTATAATTTTTTTGTCACATCACTGTTTCTAATATCATCTCTTACATCATTTGAGTTTGAATAAATCATTTGATTTGGGTTTGGATTAAAAAACAAGAAAAAAAATAGAAAATAGAATTATTTAGATTAAAAGTTAAAAATTAAAAAAATAAAGATTTTTTTATAATTATGATTTTATATTATGAAAAAAAATTATTATAATTTAAAAAAGTTATAATAATTTATATATTTAAGAAAAAAGTAAAAATATGAAAAAATAATATATTTTAAGAGTAGCAAAAAAATAAAATAATATTTTAAAATAAATTAATTATAAAAAATATCGACTCAAATCCTAAAATATTTACATTTTCATTAATTATTAATATTTTTATTATTATTTTAATATATTTTTTAATATAATTTTTAAATTATTGATTATTATATTCTCTCTCTCTCTATATATATATATATGTATATATTAATTTTTTATATAATTAATTACATCACGATTATATTTAAGAAGATAATCGATTATGTATAAAATTATCAAAACTTTCTTCGTCCTTACTAATAAGAGAAGATGAAATTTTGCTTTAAATTCTTAGTTTTTCACAATTAAATACATAAAATGATCCCATATATTCACGGAGTCTTTCCATCTTCAAAACACACACGGTGTTAGGTGAGACATTTGTTTGATGATAAAAAGATGACACGTAACATTGTTTGACCTACACAAAGTTATAAAATGTCTCCTCTCCCTCCTCTCTCTTTCCTAGTTTGTTCCAGTTTGAATTCCTTCCTCTGCCACCCCAACTTTCAGTTGTTTGTAATCAATGGCTGGTGAACCCGATGTGCCCCAAAATATCCTCTCTTGTGCTAGCTGTGCCAAACCCGCCAATCTTCAGTACTCTTTCATCTCTGTGTTCTATAGTTGTTCACAAAGTCACAATAACTGTGATCCCACTTCTTTGTTTTCTTAATTAAATTTGTTTTGGGTTGTAGTTCCTGTTTTTTATGTTTGATATGTGGTAAGGAGTAAGCTTTTGCCTTGATCAAATGAGGTTGTCATGGTTTCAGTTCAAGTTGCTGCTGCTGCTGCTGCTGGCAGCTTGCAATTTTGATGTTTTCAATTTTACACTACCCAAATGTGTTGCATTTATGTGCTAGCCGTTCTGGTCAATTGGGTGGTGAAAGATTTCATTTTCGAGTTTCTATGATGGTCTTGCAATTGGGTGATTGTGGTTTGGTATGATAATGTTGTAGAAACCATCAATTGATAACTTTAATTTACTTTTCCTCTTCTTTTTTCTTTCAGGTGCCCAAAATGCATGGACTTGAAGCTTCCTCGTGCAGGTTCTGCCTTCTGGTTTGTGACTATTCCTACTTTGCCTGTTATTTGCATTTTGAAACTTTTTTTTTTTCCCTTAACTTTTTAAGAACCTATTACTTCTATCTGTATTTAAAACGCTAATGGCATTCCATGGTAAACATAGAATACTGGTTTTCTATTCCATAAAGATCATGCAGACAAACAGCATTCTGGTATAGGAACAATACAAAGTAATAGGTTTCTTGAACAAAACATGCAAGCAAATGTAATGCAGCTAAAAGTTAAAAACGTTAGGTTACCGTTTTATAGAGCTATCCACAATAAACTTCCAGTGTATGAAGTAGGAGGAATCGTGACCAATTACAATGACTTAAGGAAAATGGTAGAGAAGAACCAATTAATAGAGTCTGAGAAGAATAAAGGGAAATGGACATTACACCCATCCTCCCCTCATTATTCTCTCTCTTACCGAGTATCAGCGCACAAAGTCTCTCTGTCTTGAGTTTGTTACACTCTGCCGCAGATTCCTTCTCACATCTCGGATTCACGGTTCTCCTCTGACAGACTTTGATCATTGCAGTCATAATTCTCTAGCCATGTATCCATTCTGAATTGGCAACTTCACTACAACAAATACCAAATAAAGTCAAATACAAGTTTGTAGATAGGAATTATCAATCATCATCTTCTAAATCCAAGTCGTCTTTGAAAGGGCGTCTTTGAAATGAACAACTTACTTCTGCTATAGTTACTATTCAGCCTGCCATTTGGTCCAACCACTGAAGTGGACACTAAAGTTGCTTGTGGCCGCTATAGTGTGCTATTTAAAATCCTGAATGCTATTAATGTATAAGTAAAACATAATGCATGAATTGGTGCTGACTAGTGATACTTTTTGACCATTGTAAATAAAAAAAGTAAGTTCTGATTGATCTAATTTGATATCCATAGCAGATTGATTTAGTTATTAGGGATTGGCAATTTGGTGAAAGGGATGACATTGTTTCTGCAAATGGCACCATGTAGAAGAAGTTGAGGTTGACCATGGCTGCTAATGACATTGTTACTAGATACTTTTTCTTTCCTGAATCACCCTGAAATTTACTTCTCATAGTCTTCATATCCTTCATACATGAGCCAATTTTGATATCTTTTGACAGCTCTCAGGAATGTTTCAAGTCTTCATGGAGCTCACACAAATCAGTGCATCTGAAGGCAAAACTATCCTCACCTGGCACACAAAATTTAGGTTCACTTGGTGAAGATTGGTTATATTGTTTGAAGGGAGGGCAGGCTCGAACGCCAAAGCTTCCTTACTTTGACTGGACTGGGTAGGGATTTGAAATCTTCATACTCTAAACTTTCAAATCCCCACAATTTAATTAATAAAAGGTCTTTTGTTCATTATCAGTAATGATATTGCACGTTTTTTCATTTCATATGCCTTTTGTGTTTGTTCAATGTTCCACCTCTTTTCATTAATACCTCTTTTTCCACCTTATTGCTAATTACTTGTTTATTTATTCAAACAAAATTAAATTTCTGCTCTTGCAAGACCACTGCGGCCATATCCCATTTCTAGTAAACGGATTGTCCCAGATCAAATTGATAAACCTGATTGGGCTGATGATGTAAGTTGTATGAGTTCTTCCTATGTAAATTCTTTGTATCCTATCTGATTTAACTCATTTGCTTAATACAATTGGAAATTATTGATTACTTAGGGGAGGAAGGTTCACGGTTCTGAATTGTTTTTATTTCTTCTGGTCTTTAACTTTTAGGGAGTTCCCAAAATTGAGCCCAATAGTAGTCTGCAGTATACTATTGAGGTGGGTAATTTTAAAATACATCACTAGGTGATTTATTATGTAAGATCAAATTGGACATTGTGTTTATTCTTTTTATTCTACTTTCTAACTTATATTAATCTGTAGGTCAAAACTCCGGATCAAATTGAGAGAATGAGGGAAACTTGTCGAGTAAGTTCCTTGCCACTCTTTGCCTGTGTAGATTCTCTTATAGGAACATGTTTTTCCCTCTCCCATCTCAATTATAGTTATGAATCCAGGATAATTGTGCAGAGCTTCCGGCCTTAAAAATGGGATTGCAGGGTAGTGGATAATAGGATGGATGCTCCTCTGATATATTTTATGTACATTAATTAATTAATACTATACATATATAAATGCTCAAAAATAGAAAAATTACTTAAAAAATCACGAGTTTTGAATTGAATGACAAATTGAGAAACTGATTAATGTGACTAAACTTTTGGTGTTGAAAGGTCTTTTAAATAGTTGTTTATTTTCTATTTTGTGTGATATAGATTGCAAGGGAGGTACTGGATGCAGCTGCTCGTATCATTCAGCCTGGTTTGATGACTGATGAGATTGATAGAGTTGTTCATGAGGCAACTATTGCTGCAGGTGCTAATTTTGTTGAGTCTTACCAGATTTTTATTTGCTCATACCCGTTTTTTATGTATATCTATGTCAAACATTTCACAATCAAATATCCCTACTAGCTTTTTTACAATTTCTCTTACATTTTATTTTTAAATTTTTATACAAATAGGAATATCATAATACCTAAAATGAATACATGTTTGGGATGGATTATTTTTGGGAATAGCATGCTACATTAGGGTTTTAAAATATCATGCTATATTATAGTGGCTCAGAGCAGCCCCAACCTGCTTCAGGACTGCTGTAGTGGAGCATTTTGTGTAGCGGCCATAGCCAGATCAAATAGCTTGCTTATTAGCAGCAGTTGTTATGCTGATTCCAAAAAAATACAACAAAAAATTAGGGTTTTTATGGAAGGCTATTTTTTTACTGTTTAAGACACCTATTTTTGAGAATTTATATGTATACAGTATACATTATATAAACCATAAAAATAGTCAAATCGCCACACTTGCCACAGCGTTTTGGGGGCCAATTGCTATGTGCCTCCATCCGGTTTAAAACATTGATCTACATTCTACTCGTATGCTCACTTATGAAACATTGATTTGCTATTTTTATTTACTCTCTGTTTTACCTTAGTGTTATACTAATTTTATTATATTATAGCTGTGTCAGGTCTTGTAATTTTCTTAATGTTATCACATCTCCATGTCTGAGTCATATTGTATACATGCTCCATGTTGTATCCTGGGCCTTTTAATTTCTTATATAGAAATTTTGGCATTACTGTAGCTGGTGAATGTTATGTATATGCATCTTCTGTTATTTAGTGTCAATCATTTTTTGTACAACACACTGATACAAACCAAAGTAATGCTGTGTGTAATATAAAACTTTGAAAGAAATGCTTTTTTTTTCCCACATTTTGCTTTCCTAATCATAATAATTTTTTATAAGGAAAAGAAATTTTATGGCAACTAGTTACTCAATCTTTCTGCTTACTGGAAATGAGGAGTCCTAAAATGCCATGAGCGTAGGCTTCCTTGCCATTTGTTATTACCCATGATGATATTTTTTATTTTTTAACTTTGCAGGAGGATATCCATCACCTCTCAATTACAATTTCTTCCCTAAATCTTGTTGCACGTAGGTACTTTTCTTTTATAATGTCATATTTTTCTCATATTGTCTTGGTATATGTTGAGAATGAAATTTGCACTAACAGGTCAGTTAATGAAGTAATCTGCCATGGGATTCCTGATGCAAGGTAGACTGTTCTGTGCCTATTCTACTCTATTAGTACTATAGTTTTTCGTTGTTGCTAGTTCTCAATTTTACTTGTGGCTGTAATTATTATAAACTAACTTTCCCCACTGAGGCTTCCTTGCCTTGGTACTTGACACATGATCAGTGTTAAGTGCCACTGACTCACTGAGTGATCATAAGATTCTTGCAACTTGAGAACTTCTCTTTATAATAATAGTCATTGTGCAGGAAGCTTGAGGATGGTGACATTGTAAATGTTGATGTCTCTGTGTACTATAAAGGTGTTCATGGTAAGTTAATTAGCGTATATATGCTTCACAGTTTCCCTTGAAGTTCATAATTTGACCATCATTTAATTTTGTGAATTGTTATATAGCTGATCTCAATGAAACATTCTTTGTGGGAAACGTTGATGATGAGTCTCTCCAATTAGTAAAATGCACGTATGAGTGCCTGGAGAAGGCAATTTCTATTGGTATGTATCCATTTGATTTCAATTCTGAAGTTTCTGTCTCTTGTTTAAGTTTCAAACATAGTTGAGTTTTTGAAACATTATAGTAGTCTTGTATATCTTGTTTGTCTTTTGTTTGATGTGTTCCTTTAAGGTTCCTTGAATTCATAAATCAAACTACAAATTTAGTCTTAAAACTGTTGATTTGGTCCTATCTCCTAAATCCCAAATTTTAAGGTAATAAATTATTTAGCCATTAAAAATATAAATTAAAGACAGAAGGACATGTTGAGTAACTAGAGTGAATCATATCTTATTAGCTACTTAATATGTTGAAACTATGCTTTGAAATATCAATAATTGATTATTATGTATTGCCATACAATACAATACAAATATGCATTTGGATTATATTGTGATTTCTGTGTTTAAGGTACTTCGTTTAGTTTAAATGTATATAGTATTTTAAGAAATTGAACTATGGAATACTGATTCTTCTTTTTCAATCAAAACCAGTTAAACCAGGGATACGGTTCCGTGAAATTGGTGAAGTTATTAGTCGTCGTGCTTCAATGTTTGGCTTCTCAGTGGTAATTTTTTACTTATTGGTGATTTAATTTTTTAACATTTTTATTGTTATTCGTTTACTAAAGTTTATGCTTATCATCTGTTCCTTATTCATTTTTTCCCTTGGGCCCCTTAGGCAAGATCATATTGTGGTCATGGAATTGGAGAGCTCTTCCATTGTGCACCAAATATTCCTCATTATGCAAGTATCCTTAGTTTTTAAGCACTGCAGGGTATTTTAAAATATATTTGGAAATTACTTTTTGCATCATCTGATGTGTGATATTAACATTCAACACATTATATATTATGTGTATATGTTGGGTTGTTTTACAAGAGAGACAACATTAGACTGGTGTTCACTAATGGGATACAAAGTAATCATATAAAAGAATATGACCTTCAACAAAAAATCTTAAAACATGAGGTTTGTGGGGATTTTTCACTTATATGTTATTTAATTTTACTATTTCTACTCAATGAAGAACTTCAACTCACTTGAATTTCAACACTCCTTTTTCAAGTTTGAGTTCATAAACTTTGGACACTCTCTCCCTCAAACTCACTTATCCCATTTTGTATTTGACTGAGCCAATTATTAGATGAACCATCGATTATGATACCACTATTGAATTAGGTCAGTGTTCACCTAGGATACAAGGTAATTATATAAGAGTATATAAGAGAATATGACTTCATCTTTAACTCAAAACCTTAAAGAATTAGGTTTGTGGGTCTTTCTCACTTATGTCACTCAATTTCATAATTTTTATTCAATGTGGGATTTCAACTCACACTTGAATTCTAATAATATATATATATTCTAATAATATATATATATATATATATATATATATATATATATATATTACGGGAACAAATTTAACTTATATCATTGATAATTTAAGAAACAATACAAGTAGGAGTATATTTAAAAATGGTGAGACTAGCATAAGGCAAGAAAGCTTTAGCAAGAGCATGGCCTACCCTATTGGCTTCTCTCCCTCAAATTTTGACAGAAAAGTTTTGGTTAAGTCTAAGAATATCCCTGCAATGTTCCAGGATGGAACTAACTTCTGAGATATCCTGAGTAGTAGCCCACAGTCTGTCAACAATGATTTTGCAGTGTATACTTATCTTTTAATATAAAGTGACCAGTTGTTTTGACATTAATTGGCTTGCAAAACTATAAATGTTAGCCATTCACTTTCTATTGACAATCCTGCTATACATACACTTGAAAAGGAATTAATTTGAATGAAAGAAGATGTTTTCTCTGTTGAGTTTTTTGAAACAGTACATCAACATCTATATATAGAGAATCCTAACCCTAAAGGAATAATTATAAGGAGATCTCTACAATCTTCTTATCAACTTCCTACAAGTTCTAATAATACATTTAATCTCCTAACAATTTCTAACCACAGTACATTTAATATCGTACTATCAACACATACCATTACTTGCTAGCAACAGCCAATTGCACCTCTTGCTTTTCTATTCCTACCAACACAGAACAAAGATTGGTAGAAAGTAGAAAGCAAACATGTGGAATGTATAATCCTTGACCACTGTCAGGGAATAAAGCAGTTGGTGTGATGAAGGCTGGACAGACCTTTACAATTGAACCAATGATCAATGCCGGTATACTTATATTTTACAAAATTGATTAAATAGATAACTTTGATGGATAAATGTGGCAGTTCTAATATTATTTTTGAGTAGGTGTTTGGCGTGATCGAATGTGGCCTGATGAATGGACTGATGTTACAGCCGATGGTAAAAGAAGTGCTCAATTTGAGCATACTCTTCTGGTAAGTCCATTTCTGTTTTGTCCTCACTAAAGTCTGCTTATTTTCTGCACTATAATTTCATGCATACTATCCAAATCTTTCACCACTAACCAAATCCTATGTTTCTATTACTTAATGCCATAACATTGTGGCCACTTTGTTTATATTTGTTTTGGTCAGTGAATTAGTAATTTGAAATTTACTTATTTTTGGTCTCTTAAGTATAAATTAAGTATAAATTAGTAGTTCAGGACTACTTTTAGCTGATTGTACCTATCTAATATGGTTCATGGTATTCATAATTAGGTGACAGAAACTGGTGTTGAAGTTTTAACTGGGAGGTTGCAGACATCACCCAATGTTTTTCCTTGGCTGAATTCATAATTGGGTGAATCAATTAATAGGAGACAGATGCTGGGTGTCTAAAAGTTTCATACAATTAATAGGGCAACATTTCTTTGCTCCTATTTCTCTCGCTGCAACTTTTGGGTATCATGTAGAGAAAAACCAAAGCAAAATTCAATTAAATTGAGATGAAAAAGTGTGATCAATGATATGTTTGTGTAATCTTATGTTTTTGTTATCCTTTTGTTTTTTTCTTTCCTCATAATGTTTTCTTACCTTAGGATGAAAATTACCAAAGTAATTTTTAATGTTGTTTAATCAAATATTCTTTCTTGAACAAATTTTAACTACTTATTTCATATTTTCAACAAATCATCCAAACTTTTTCATTCATTAATAAAGATAAAAACCTCTAAAATAAATTATTTTAAACAAAAATAAAATAAAATATATAATGATTAAAAACACAATCTTCCCACGTAAAAAAATGGTTACATTTTTTTTCTGAAAAATACTTACTCTCAAGAATATGCAATTATAAGATAAAATATAATTATTTTCCCACTATCACTGCCTATTATTTATTATAAGACTAATATTGAATAATTTATATTTAGCTTTTACTCTTGTTGAGAATAATAGAAGTTTCTTCATTATCACTGCTATTGTTAATTATAATATTAATTTTGAATAACTTATTATAAGAAACTCATTTTATATATAAAATATTCAAAATTATTTATTATTGTTCAATTATATTTATCTCCTTAAAATCCTTGGTTCCATGGTATAATATAAAATCATGATAATCATAGATATAACAAACATGATAAGTTAATAATTAAAAAAAAAGAATTATATTTAAAAATAATCAACATATGAAAATAAATATATTATTTTATATTCATCAAAATATTCAATTAATGAATACTAAATATTATTAATTGAATTTAAATTTTAAAAGTAAAATTAATTTTATTATTTATCTTTTTTTTTCTGAGTTTGTAAATTTTTAGACATCTTTAAAATTTTACCTTTTTTTTTTCATATTTTCACGTTCAAACAAAGCATCATAAAACATTAAAATAACTAAAAATAAAAAAATTATATCAATATTTTATATTTTTATATTATAATACACACCTTAATTTGTTATAATAATAAAAAAAATATTTATTGAAGTGGGAAAATTAAAAAGATAAGATAAAAATACGAAGATAAAAGGAATAAAAATAAAAATGTGTGAAAATTTGTGTAAGAAAATAAATATGAGAAAAATTAAAAAAAAGATAAAAATTTTAATTTTAATTTATGTTTATAAAATAATTTTCATTTAATTTAAAAAAATAGTTATATATAGGGGTGTTCTAACTTGGTTTAATATTTTTAATTGATTATCTCACTTATTTTATTTTATTTTATCAATCTGAATAAAAAATTAATTTCTTTATTAGAACTAATATGATAAATAAAAAATTGTTAAAGAAACACAATTAGATGAAACATGTTTTGAAAATGGTATAATTAAATTAAATTAAGGTTGCAGGAAGCAAAAACGGAAAACCTGTAAATGGTCTGATTTAGCCCACAAAATATTCAGGCCCAATAAGTGCAGTAGCAAAACAGAACGGGCCAGGCCCAAATTCGAAGAGAGACTTTTGGTTGACCAACGCGATGTTTGAAAATGCCTCCTCCGATTGTTCAGACTCCATTTCTTGCTCTGCAACCCTAAGTTTCAGCTGTTCTCAATCGATGGCTGGTGAATCTGATGTCCCGGGAAACACCCTCTCTTGCGCTAACTGTGGAAAACCCGCCAATCTTCAGTACTCTTTCTTCGCTCTATTTAATTTTCTCTTTATGTGGTTTACAGCTGCTCACAAGTGACAATGACTGTGACCCCACTTTTTTTTCCTTTTAATTTATTTTTTGTTTTGAATTGTAAGTTTCTGCTTTTGTAATTGATATGTGGCAAGGTCTTAGCTTTTGGCTTTGATCAAAAGAGGGTTTATTGTTTTAGTATAAGTTGATGTTGTTCCTGCTGCTGCTGCTGCTGGCAGCTTGCAATTCTTTATGTTTTCTTTCTACCCAAAAGTGGTGCATTGATATGCTGGTGGTTTTCATCATTTGAGTGGTGAAGGAGTTCAATCTTTCTTTAAGTTTCTTGCGGTGGTCTTTCCATTGGGTGATTATGATTTGGTATGATAGTGTTAAAGAAACCGTGAATGGGGATATCTTTAATATTCTTCTCCTCTTTTTTACTTCAGGTGCCCAAAATGCATTGAATTGAAGCTTCCTCGTGAAGGTTCTGCCTTCTGGTTTGTGACTATTCCTATTTTCCTGTTAATTGTATTTTGAGGTCCTTTGTTTACTGTTGTCATGATGGACAGTGTGTTTGTACCGTTGTCTTTAGTTTGTGAATTGTTATATTTTCATGCCAAACCAAATAGAATGTGTTTGGACAGCTGTTGAAAAGCTAGAAACCATGTGGAAGGTATAACTACTAGCTTCTCAGTAAACTCGAGAAACCACATCTAAAACATGGACCAAACACACAAATAGTAGATTCCGGCTTCACTTGGATCCACCTTTGGGGAATTGTTAAACCCAACATACATGATTGAGTCTCAGTGGACTGATATAATTTGATATAGCCACTAGTCTTTCAAAGTAGTTTTATGAGTGTTCAGTTTTTTTTTTTAGTTTTTGGCAGTGATTCTAGACAAGACTTGAGTTCTTTGACTATTCGCCGAGAGATAATTGGTCCTTTTGATTCCTATTCAATTGTAATCTTTGTGGAATATAATACCAGTATTCAGTGTTTACCAGATGATGCCATTAGTGTTTTACATACCAGATAGCAGCTGGCCCCAAAACCACTGCGGTGGTATAACTGCTATTCTAAATTTTTTATATAGTTTATATTTATATGATGTATACCTATACATATAAATTTTCCAAAATAATAAAAATTACTCAGTTCATGACTTTCATTGGTGACAAAACGAAGTCATTAGTGATAAAAATTACTCACTGTTACGGAATCACCCTGAAATTTACTTCTCATAGTCGTCATATCCTTCATACTTGAGCCAATTTTGATCTTTTGACAGCTCTCAGGAATGTTTCAAGTCTTCATGGAGCTCGCACAAATCAGTGCATCTGAAGGAAAAACTATCTTCACCTGGCACACAAAATTCTGGCTCACTTGGTGAAGATTGGTTATATTGTTTGAAGAGAGGGCAGGCTCGAACACCAAAGCTCCCTTACTTTGATTGGACTGGGTAGGGCTTTGTATATCTCTATACTATAAACTATCAAATTGCCCCAATTTAATTAATATTAATAATGATATTTTACGTTTTTTTCATTTCATAGGCCTTTTTTGTTTGGTAGATGTTCCGCTTCTTTTCTTTAATGCTTCTCTTTCCCTCTTATGGCTAATTGTTTATTTGTTGAAACCAAAATTTAATTTCTGCTCTTGGAAGACCACTGCGGCCATATCCCATTTCTAGTAAACGGATTGTCCCAGACCAAATTGAGAAACCTGATTGGGCTGATGATGTAAGTTATCTTAGTTCTTCCTATTTAAATGCTGTCTTCTCTGATTTTACTTATTTTGCTTGAATACAATTGGAAGTTGTTTTTTGATTACTTAGAGGAGGGTTCATTGGTTGTTGAATAGTTTCTTTTTTTTCTTCTGGTCTTTGATTTCTAGGGAATTCCCAAAATTGAGCCCAATAGTGGTCTGCAGCATACTGTTGAGGTGGGTAATTTCAAAATATAATTGGATGATTTATTATGTAAGATCGAATTGGACATTGCCTTTATTCTTTTTATTCTACTTTCTAACTTGTATTAATCTGTAGATCAAAACTCCAGATCAAATTGAGAGAATGAGGGAAACTTGTCGGGTAAGTTCCTCACCACTCTTTGCCTCTGTAGATTGTCTAAGAGCAAGATATTTTTACCCCTCTGCTCTCTCAATCATAGCTAGGAATCCTGGATAGTGTGACGAAGAACAGCAGATCCTTAAGTACAGTAGGATGACTTCTTTCCTGATATATTTTATATACATTAAAAAACTAATATTATGCATTTATAAATGCTAAAAAATAGAAAAATAATTAAAAAGTCCTGTGTTTTGAATTGAATGGCAAATTAAGAAACTGTTTAATGTGAGGAAACTTTTGGTGCTGAAAGGTCTTTTAAATAGTTGTTTATTTTCTATTATTTCTTGGTGTAAACTTAAGCCTCTCATTATGGTTGAATTGATTTATACTTTGTAGATTGCAAGGGAGGTGTTGGATGCAGCTGCTCGGATCATTCAGCCTGGTGTGACGACTGATGAGATTGACAGAGTTGTTCATGAGGCCACTATTGCTGCAGGTGCTAATTTTAATGATTTTTTTTTTTTTTGGAACACTTCAAGTCTGAACAGTTTTTAATTCATGGATCCTTGGGAAGTTTATAGGTCAATGGATGAATATAAGATACTTCAAATAGTATCGTTCTCTGTGCTGGATTCATGGTTGACATATCCATATCAAGCACTTTATCAACAAATCATATACTCATAGTAGCTATTTATAATTTTTATTTTTCATTTTTTTAAAACCTCTACACAAATAAGAATATTGTAATACCTAAAATTTGGGATAGGTTACTTTTGGAAAAATAATTTTTCTTTTCAAAAACTTGAAATCTGGAGCAAAAAAGCTGTTGTCGGGTGTTCTAACTATTATAATTTATCACATTCCCATGATGTATCTTGGACCTTTTAGTTTCTCGCATAGAAAGTTTTGGCATTACTGTAGTTTGTTAGTGTTGAGTATGTATATTTTGTTATTTAGGGATATAATCATTTACTGTAGTGTACAAAGAGATACCTTTGTAATGATGTGTGTCATAAAATTTCGAAGGAATTGCATTCTTCACACGCATGGTTATCAAACTTTAGGGTTAACTTTTAAACTCGGATGAGCTTACTTCTTGGTCACGAGTCAACTCGTGTGTAAACTCTTATTTGGGTAAACTCAGTAGATTTTATAGACTTGGATTAGACCCGCCAGTTTGACTATGAGTCCATGAGCCTGGGTAAGTTTTATTCTAGCCTCGTTGTGTTGTTGGTTAGTTCTGTTTGGTCTTAAAAATAATTTCTGTTTCATTTTGGGTTCGTTTAGATATAGGGTTCAACTTTTGAAATGTCAAGTAGAATTGTTTCAGGATATAGAAGAGATATTAGGTGGAGACATGGAGATGGAGTGGGTGTTTTAGGCAATAGTACCATGATGCTTACATTTTTTTTTTTTGAATTAGTATGTTACTTTTTACATGAAATAGTTGACTCCTATGTGTCGAGTTAGAGACTCGCAAAAACTCTTGAATTTGATAACATTGTCCATCCCCCCACCCCAAACCCTCTTAGTTGTACTACTCGTTACAAGCATCTTTTATAGGAAATGGAATCTAATTTCACAGACAATAGGTGCCCAATCTCTTTGCATACCAGAAATGCAATGTCCTACAAAAGTGATGAGCATTGCATTGAGAGTAGGCTTGCCAACGTTGTTGTAATTCTGTTTCTAAATGGTTCCTTATGTTTCTTGATGTCATTGTCTTTTTTTTTGTTTATTAGTCATTGGTAATGATAATTTTTGACATTTTACCTTTGCAGGAGGATATCCTTCACCTCTCAATTACCATTTTTTCCCTAAATCTTGCTGCACGTAGGTACTTTTCTTCTGTAATGACATATTTTTCTCATGTTGTATGGTATATGTTAAAAATGAAATTTTCACTATCAAACAGGTCAGTTAATGAAGTAATCTGCCATGGAATTCCTGATGCAAGGTAGACTGTTCTGTGCCTTCTCAAATTCATTCATACCATGGTTTTTCATTGTTTCCAGTATTCAGTTTTACTTGTGCCTGGAATTATTGTGATTAACTTTCCTCACTGGCGCTTCCTTGGTGTGTAAGTTCCACTGACTCAGTGAGGCCATGATAAGATTACATTTCGGAACTTCCCTTTATAATATAGTCATTGTGCAGGAAGCTTGAGGATGGTGACATTGTCAATGTTGATGTCACTGTGTGCTATAAAGGTGTTCATGGTAAGTTGATTAGCATATATATACTTCAGTTTCCCTTGAAGTTTATAAATTGACCATTGGTTAATTTTTTTAATTGTTATGCAGGTGATCTCAATGAAACATACTTTGTAGGAAATGTTGATGAAGAGTCTCGCCAGCTAGTAAAATGCACTTATGAGTGCCTGGAGAAGGCAATATCCATTGGTATATATCCATTTGATTTCAATTCTACAGTGTTTGATATGTACCTTGAAATTTTCTATTAAGTCATAGATCAAACTACAAATTTTGTATTAAAACTTCTGATTTGTTCCTGTCCTCAAAATCCCAAATTTGAAGGCAATAAATCATCAATTAGAAATATAAATTAAGGACAGAAGGACATGTTGAGTGACTAAAGTAAATCATATATCATATTAGCTACTTGATATGTTGTAGATAAATATGTATTGAAAGTATTAATAATTTTACGGACTACCATACAAGTATGCATATAGCATTTGGATTATATTGTATTTTTTTTATTTCAAATATTTTATAAAATTCAAATGTATATAATATTTTAAGAATTTGAATTCTGGGATATTGATTCTTCTCTTTTGACCAAATTCAGTTAAACCTGGGGTACGATTCCGTGAAATTGGTGAAGTTATTAATCGTCATGCTTTAATGTGTGGCTTCGCAGTGGTAATGTTTTACTTTTTGGTGCTTTAATTTTTTAATCTATTTATTGATACTAGTTCACCATTGTGGATTCTTATCATTTGTTTCTTACTCATTTTTTCTCTTGGTCTCATAGGTAAAATCGTATTGTGGTCATGGAATTGGAGAGCTCTTCCATTGCGCACCAAACATTCCTCATTATGCAAGTATCCTTTGTTAGTTTAAAAGCACTGCAGGGTATGGAAATTCATATTTGGAAATTATTGCATCCTCTGATGTTTGATCTTATCATTCAGCACAGTACCAATTGTTTTCTTAGGCATAAAACGGCTTGCAAAACTAGAAATGGTTCTATAGATGTTAGCAATCATTTTCTATTGACAATCCTCTTATACATACGATCATTTGCTAGCAACATCCAATGTGCATCTCTAGCTTTTCTATCTTTACCAACAGAGAACAAAGATGACTAGAAAGTAAACATGTGGAATATATTAGCCTTAACCACTTACAGAAAACAAAGCAGTTGGTGTGATGAAGGCTGGACAGACCTTTACAATTGAACCAATGATCAATGCTGGTATACTTATCATTTATAAATCACTAATAGATAACTGATGGATACGTGTGACTGCAGTAATATTATTTTTTTATAGGAGTCTGGCGAGATCGAATGTGGCCTGATGGATGGACTGCTGTTACAGCCGATGGTAAACGAAGTGCTCAATTTGAGCACACTCTTTTGGTAAGTCCATTTAGGTTTTCTACCTCTCTCCTATTACGGTATAATAATATGTCTCATAGTCTGGCTATTCTCTTCTTTTTTTCCTGCCATGTAAAACACGGTTTCGATGAGCTGAAAAGTGATATAATGTTACTTAGTTTTGGATGGAGTTTTCGGTAACATTAGTTTTGTACTTTCTCATCTCTATATAATGTTAATTATATTTATATGATGTAAGCATGTTACTTCTATAATATGCCATTGACTAAGCCTTTGCAAACTGTTAAGTACCGGAGAGTAAACCATGCCTCGCTACAATTTAGGTTTTATTTTTTTTTGTATAATGTAGTTTAAACCTATGGTCTCGAGCAAAACACACAAATCCTGCTCCTCATGCCTAATCTAGTCCTATGTCTTAATTACAAAGCGATTCAAAGCTATGGTGGCTTGTCTTTGTTTTGGTCATTGAATTAGTAATTTTGAATTTTACTTATATTTGGTCTCTTAAGTATACTAATATGGTTCATGATATTCATAATTAGGTGACGGAAACTGGTGTTGAAGTTTTAACTGGGAGGTTGCAGACATCACCCAAAGTTTTTCCTTGGCTAAATTCATAATTGAGTGAATCAACATGGGAACAGATGCTGACACAGTAATACATTTCTCTGCTCTATTTCCCTGGTTGCCTCTTTTGGGTATCATGTTTGTATGGTATACAAGAACACAAGCAAAATTCAATTGAGTTTAGGTGAAAAGTATGGTCATGATATATTGGTGTAACCGAAGAAAATTAATGCAACAATTTTGCTGTGCTTTGGTTGGTTAGTTAAGGCAATAACAATGTTTTAGCTAAGTTTTGAACACCAGGGCTTATTACAATATTCTATGGTTAATAGTGTCTTGTAGAAATTTATTGTTGCATTACTAATCTGTTCTTCGTTTCCATAATGAGGGGCACATATGTTTCAAAAGATTAGAATTTTATGCAGTTGGTAAAACATTGAAAAGTATGTAAATATTTGTCATTATTTTGCATGTGCATTTAGAATCATTTAATGTATAATCTGCTTAATAAAAAAAAATCTGTAGTAACATTTTGTATTTAGAGATAGTATTTGCAAATATGATTCACTTTTACAGATTAAGATTACATTCTTTCTATGCTGCAAAGATATTCAAATGAAATCCTCTTAATTTTATAAGAGGAAAATAAAAAGTAAAATATTTGTCTAGGACGTTAAAAATACAAATTTACATAGAATTCGTTGAGTGTTTTTTATTAATTAATGTATAAATTAATTTAATTCATAGGGAAATGTTTTTTTTTAATATTCTTATAAAGAAATTACCCTAATATAAATTTTAATAAATAGCATCCCTTTTTTGATGATGATAATTTATTATAATATATAGCCTCTTTTATTAAATGTATTGCACATACTTCTAAGAAAATGATTATACATAGCTTCAGGAAACGACTTCTAAAATAATTTCCTTCTAATGAAATTAATAAATTAATTAAAGGTCTTTTAATGATATAGCTATTGAAAAACTTCTCATGAATGTAAAGTTTTTTTTTTTTAACTTAATTTATAGCTGGTTGAAAACATTTTCAGCGGTCAACTATAAATTATTACTAAATAAATTGTAGCTGGATGTTATCTAAAATTTAAAAATTAATTTTTATATTAATAATATATTCCACAAAACCATGTCATCATTATGTTAAGAGTATATTACACCATTTTCTTACACCTACTTATCTAATCACCGATTACTTGATTTTTAATAATAATAATAATCTTAAAAAGTTGTATCAATAATGTGTTTTTAAACATGTCAGTAAAATTTTTAAAATATTTTTTTGTCAATCAGGAAAATATTTATTTTATGCATAGATCTTGTCGATTACATCTAAACATGATCTTAATAATCGATAATAAAATATTTTTAAGATCAACACGGTTAGATTTTGGTAAAAGGTTATCGTTAGATCGAAATTTAATTGTAAGATATCAAGATCGAAATTTAATTATAAGATATGAAGATATATAATTATATAAAAGAATATCACTTCCGTGCAGCCCAAAATATATTAAGTTTTTATCTTTTTCACTCTTAATTTGTTCAGCTTTCTTATATCTGTATTAGATGGATTCCAACAATCAGAAATATTAGCAAAATTAAATTTGTACGCAGTATCATGATTACATCAAATTAATGACACCACCCAAAGAAAAAACATGTAGCATACACATGAACAAACAATGGATGGTAACAAGATATGGCTAAGAATTATTGGTGGTCATAGTTGTGTGTTTCTGGTATGTAGATGCATATCTGTGAAACAAGAAAAGTGCATTGCTTGTAACTTGTGCCACATTCATGGCCTTAACCTTGATAGCAGCCACTCTCTTGCTCATCCTATGACCAGGAAATGAGTACACACAGCTACTGGCATCTGTCAAGGCAGTGCTCACCCATGTCTCAACATTGCTGATGTGCCATAACATGTTATCATTGATGGTGGACCCGTGTTGGTTGAAACTACGAAGTTCTTTCATGGCTTGGCTTAGTTGATCCACACTATCAGTGATTTGGTTCACACAATCTTGCAAGGTTAGGTACTCTCTTTTGTTGCTCTTGATGGCTTGAAGTTCCTTTGCCACCTTCAAAAGGTACCCTTTTGTGTGCACTGCTCTAGAGAGGCTCACTGACAAGGCATATTGAGCCAAGTGTTGTTGACCATTTATGGGGGATTTGGCATATTGAGCCAGGCAACGGATGCAGAGATATGGGTAGAGGGTGCCATTGCAAGAGGACTTTATGAAGGTCATTGTTTTAAGATTTTTGTGTGTTGTCCGGGATGATGGCTCAACTGGGGTGGCAAGAAATGAGAAGAAGAGAGCGAGGAAAATGAGTAGCAATGTGAGATTGAGTTGTGCCATGTTAAAGATGGGTCTCAAGGGAAGCTTTTGGTTATCTGTGAGTCTAAAACAAGAGAGATTTCAAAGGTCTAAAGGAGAATTTGGTTGATGAAAATGACAATGGTGTGTGGTGCTTATATAGAGATTTCTTCACATCTTCACATCATCACATGCATAGGTATTTAGTTTTTTAATTTACTTGATTCCTTTATACATGCAATGAGTTGCGCTAAGAACCACACAGGACTTTGGTAAAATTTTAAAAGGAACTGGTCGGTCAATAAAGTCAGAGATTATTAATCATCATTAGCATAGATTTTATATTATCTTATACAACTACACACTAATATATTCATAACTTGACCCTGATATCACGAAAATACCTTGGATTAAACCCTGTTTAAGAACCTTGTTTACCTTGTTTGAGTGCGGTGGTATGTGAAGTAATACTGTGTGTATGGCTCGAACTTCTATTGTTACACGTTTAAAATTAAGGATTAGACTTTTTGAACATTAGATTGTAAGAATTCTTAAGTGACAAGAGAAAAAAAAAGGAAAAGAAATAACATGATGCTTAAGTGGGAAGAGAAAATTAATGTGTGAATATGAATGATTACAGATACATGGTTTAATAATAGATTGGTGGTTGTTTGTAGGGTGGATGAAGGTGCAAGTTGGAGTTCTTAAGGCGACTCCGACGGGTCAATGTTTATTGAAAAAGAAGGATTCAAAAAGAAAAAGGAATTGAAAGACACGTATGCATGAACTGCTGATACTATTGGAAACCTACTTACGATGTTGTTCTAGTTTTTTTTTTTTTTTTTCTGAATTATGGACTAATTTATAATACTTTAATTATTCATTATCTAACGAGTTTTTATATATAACATAGGAATTAATGTATTATGTTTTCTAATATAAGTTTATTAAAATAGTATACTGTTACGATTAATTATATACTAAAAAATCTAGGCCTTTATTTCATTAAAGATCTATCATTAATCTTATTAAGAAAGATTTAAATATATCATTCATGTTAAAGATTTATATTTATATAGACAATATAAATTTGATTTCAGAAATTTATAATATATGATAAACTCTAAATATTTATCTAGGTAGAAGAAAAAGTTGCTTAAAAAAAGACATGCACTAATTAGAATGATTTTTGATAATTCTAACTATGTTTACAAACTACAAGAAGTAGAAACTTAGATGGAATTACAATTAAAACTATATGAAAAGTATTTCGAATTAAATTTATTTAATTTTATATATAACGAGTAAGATTTTATAGGAAAGCACAAATATATATTACATGAATATTCATCTAGATACGAGAGGATATTTCGAATCCCATAACCTATGCTAGAAATTAATATATCATAATTTCAAGATAGATATGCGTACATATATAGCAACATGAAAATATTATTTAGATAAATGCTATATGTACATTTATAACAGTGAGAACCCACAAACAATTTCTAGAAAGAAAAAAAATAATAATAATTATTATGATGTATAGAAAGAGAAATTAAAAAAAAAAATCCATGTTGATGAGGTATTTAAGAGTATGAAATGTTTATGTATATGGAAAACCTTCTTCTGCACTCTAGAATATATTGCAATAACAGTGCATGAGTGGTTATTGTTATTAATCCTCTGAATCGCACAAACACATATATTTTGGTTTTAACCCTTCTGCATGAGGGAACATAGAGGCGCCATAATCGCCTTAAAACTTTGATGCTGCACCTTCATTCAGCCTGCATGCAGAATCATCAATTCTCAAAGCTATCTCCAATCATTCAAACTTCATACATTCTCCTTACTAATTAAGCATCATCTGCTATATACCATTTTTTTTACTTTTCTTTCTCTCACCACTTGATGGAATTCTTACAATCCACGTTTAAAAGGTCTAACCCTTTTATATATATCTTCAATATTAATCTATTATCATAACATATTGCATATATATATATATATATATATATATATATATATATATATATATATATATATATGTATTCTTAATGTTTTTCATCTCTATGATTCTAATTTGATGGACCAGCTTTATGTATATTTCTATTATCGTGTTATATCTTATTATGTTATGCTTTGTTCATAGCGCAACTCATTGCATGTATAAAGGAACGTAAAGAAGGGAAAGAATAAATAGCCTATGCATGTGATCATGTGGGGAAAATTCTATATAAGCACCATACTCCATTGCCATTTTCATCAACCAAAAATCTCATTCAGATCTTTGAAAGCTCTCTTTCATCAGGTTCACAGCTAATCAAAAGCTTCACTTGAGAGCCAACTTTAGCATGGCACAGCTCAACCTCACATTGCTACTCATTTTCCTCTCTCTCTTCTTCTCATTTCTTGCCACCCCAGTTGAGCCATCATCATTGACAGCACACAAAAATCCAGAAACAATGACCTACATAGTGTCCTCTTGCAGTGGCACCCTCTACCCAAATCTTTGCATCCGTTGCCTGGCTCAATATGCCAAGTCACCCATAAATGGCCCACAACACTTGGCTCAATATGCCTTGTCAGTGAGCCTCTCTAGAGCAGTGCACACAAAAGGGTACCTTCTGGAAGTGGCAAAGGAATTTCAAGCCATCAAGAGCAACAAAAGAGAGTACCTAACCTTGCAAGATTGTGTGAACCAAATCACTGATAGTGTGGATCAACTAAGCCAAGCCATCAAAGAACTTCGTAGTTTCAACCAACATGGGTCCACCATCAATGATAACATGTTATGGCACATCAGCAATGTTGAGACATGGGTGAGCACTGCCTTGACAGATGCTAGTAGCTGTGTGTATTCATTTCCTGGTCATAGGATGAGCAAGAGAGTGGCTGCTATCAAGGTTAAGGCCATGAATGTTGCACAAGTTACAAGCAATGCACTTTTCTTGTTTCATAGATATGCATCTTCTTACCAGAAAACAGCAACTAAAATCACCAAGCCTTAGAAAGTAGTTTCAACCTATTACCCTCCACTGTTTGTTACATGTTTTTTCTTTGGATGGGTTAAATTTTATGTAATTAATCTATATTTATAAATTTAAATTCATTATTATCTGTGTTCATATGGAACTGTGTTGATTATATTTTGTTATTGATCATCCCCGAGGCTACTTAACACAGCCATAACATGAAAAGATTAATTATATATCAGAAATAAGAAAAAATTGAAATTAGTTATAGGATTTTGTTAGGTTTACTTTATAAATAAGCTTATGCAACTTTCAACAGAGATTGTCTCTTGCTGAGTTTTTGGGCTTGACTAAAACAAAAAAAAGCTCCTCGTTCCATGACACGGAATAGTGAGTAGTCTTGTATTGAAGCACAAAACTCCAATTTCCAAGAACGAATGCAAATCCAAAATGAATCAACTCATGCCTCTTTTACAAAAGAATAAATTAAATGCTGACTATCATGACAATGAATCTATACATTTAATTCCACACACTTCGTCACGTTCTTCAACTGCATGCATGCATCTACATTAGTGATATCAAGATTGATCTCCCTCAGTTTCACAAGACGTCAATATATCAAAGTTGCGAGTTTTTATATAGTGGGATCGGCTACGCTTGGTACAAGTGTATGATATGTAACGATTATACTCACGATTGACAAATTTTTGTTGACGCGGTTGTACAAATGTTTTGGTAACAACTTCTATACCAATCACAAGAAGCACTTAAGGAATTGAAACAACAGGCACGGTGAATGAATACTATATCCAATTTGAGGCTCTCTCTCCATTAGAGATAATGGATTGATAAAAAAAAAAAATAGTTGATTAGTTTCTTTGTAGCTGACTTCAATTATTATTCAAAATGTGAATATCAGTTGACTAAGTTGACAATCAAGTATCTACATAAAATATTCTCCATATTATTAGTTGGTGTATTTTTGCAATGAGTAGTACATGGCCAATTTATAGGCCTCTAGACATGGTCTCTCATTCATTCAAGACAACCACTACCTTTCACTACTACAAAATATACTTTCTACGTCGTCATTTAATGTCGGTTATAGCTGAGACGACGTAGAAAGTACTTTCCACGTCGGTTCCCATATGAACCGACGTGGAAAGTATTTTTTTTTCCACCCAAAAACTCACTTAAATTTGAAAATTGTCATTGGAAGGTTACTTTAGAGTTGGAGGCTGATACTCCAACCACTAAGCTACTAGAATTTTCTGATAATAACTTACAAATAAATTATATTTATATACAAATAAATATATATCCATGTAAATATATATTTATTTGTATATATTTTCTGGAAAGTATTTTTATTTTTATTTTCAGCCAAAAATTCTAATAAGTTAATGAATTGTCACTGATAGCATTTGAACCCAGTATTTTAGGGTTGAAAGTTAATATCCCAACCACTAAACTACTATAATTTTTTGATAATAACTTACAAATAAATTATATTGGTATTTTTCGATCGAGGGTGAAAGTGTGATTGACTCTTGCTTGAGTGAAAATATGTTAAAGCTCACGAAAATTCACTTACTCAAGTCTCGCTTGAGCGAAAATTGGTATTTTTCGCTTGAGAGAAAATAACGCGTTTCCCAAATTTATTTTATATCATTATATAAATAAAATTATAAAGATTATATTCTGTCATTAAATTACAAACGCATATAAAGATACCTGCTCACAAATTTAGCATCAAATTTTGAAAACTCACTCGACACACACTTTCACTTTCGAGGTGCCCTCACATCCAACATATAAATATATAACTATATAAATATATCAAAATATATAAATATATTTGTATTTATATATTTACACGGATATATATTTATTTGTATATAAATATAATTTATTTGTAAGTTATTATCGGAAAATTCTAGTAGTTTAGTGGTTGGAGTATCAGCCTCCAACTCTAAAGTACTTGGGTTCGAATCCTGCCAATGACAATTCTCTTAAAAAATTAATAAACTTTTAAAAAATATAATATAAAGAGATGGAGGACCTAATAAAAATATAATATAAAGAGAGGGGAGACTTCTAGATAAATAAAAGGGGTAAAGGGGTTGTAAATAAATAAAAATTATTAATTTAAAAAATCATACTTTCAACGTCGGTTTATTAGAACCGACGTTGAAAGCTTTATTTGTAGTAGTGTTTCAACTACATACATTCAATACAACAACTACCTCTCAACTACATGCATTTAATGTTTACCTAACAAAATCCTCCCATAAACTTAAATGTTTTTCTTGTCCTTCATTCCAAGCATCTTCTTACTGTTTCTGAACAAAGTGGTTGACAGTGGCTTCGTGAACATATCTGCAACTTGTGTTTAGGTTCCAACGTGCTCTAACTCCACATTTTCTTTTTTCATTTGTTCTCGGATGAAGTGAAACCGAAAATCAATATGCTTGCTTCTCTCATGATTGACCGGGTTCTTTGTCAATTCAATGACCGACTTGCTATCAACTTGAATCAAAGTCTCTTTTTCTTGCTTCAACTGGAGCTTACTTAAAAGGTTTCTAAGCCAAACTCCATGGCAGACTCTCCAGGATGTTGCAATGTACTCAGCTTTGCAAGTGGACAACGTTACAATGAGTTGTTTTTTTGAAAGTCAGGTGAACGCTGTGTTTCCCACGAAAAATACATATCTAGAAGTGATTTTCTGGTCATCAACATCTTCACACCAGTCACTATCCGAGTAACCTACTAGTCGGTAATCATCTGTCTGTCCTAGTATATATTAGGCCAAGTGACATTGTTCCTCTCACATACCTTAGAATTCTCTTTAGCGCCTTCCAATGAGTATACCTTGGCTCCTCCATATACTGACTTGCTATTACAACACTTAGCATTAAATCTGGTCTGGTATTTGTAAGATACCTAAGATTTCTAATCAGACTTCGGTATTTGCTCGCATTAACTCGGTCTCCATCTGCATACTTAGAAAGTTTTGTACCAGGTTCCATAGGGGTGGAAACTGGGTTGCAACTTATCATCTTAAACTTCTTCAAGACCTCCTCAACATACCTTTCCTGCGACACAAAGATGTTATCCTTTCCCTGAACAACTTCTAAACCAAGAATATACTTCATAAGACCCAAGTCAGTCATCTCAAACTCCTTCTTCATCACTTCTTTAAATCCTTCAATTAACTCGACATTATTTCCCATGACGATATGGTCATCAACATATAGGGCAACAAACATCACATCTTCTCCTTTCTTCTTTATGTATAGAGCATGTTCATAAGGACACTGCTCATATCCATTCCTTTTGAAGTAAGTGTCAATTCTTTCATTTTATGCTCGTAGAGCTTGTTTCAAGTCATAAAGTGTCTTCTTCAATCTCAACACTTTCTTCTCTTCACCTCTTCGTATGTATCCGAGTGACTGTTCAACATATACTTCCCTCCAAGACTCCATTCAGAAATGCCGACTTCACGTTCACTTGCAAGATTGTCCATCTGTGTTGAGTTGCTAAGGAAATCAACAGCCTAATTGTTTTCATCCTCGTCACTGGGGGAGAATACTTTGTCATAGTCTATTCCTTCATTCTGCTTGTACCCCTTTACTACAAGTCGAGCTTTATATCGCTCAACTTCTCCTTCAATATTTGTCTTTTTCTTGTACACCCACTTTACGCTGATAGGTCGTGCTCCTTTGGGCAAATCAGTTAGCTCCCACGTGTTGTTGCATTCTATTGTCCCGA